GAAGGGCACTCTGCAGGGAGAAGGCGCTACTCAGGTTTTATTAAATCCAGAAGCCTGATCTGAGGGACCAGACTGTACTGACCATAGTTATGGCCCTCACTAGCCTTTTACAAGGACCCCAACAACTCCCGGAGTTTGCGCTGCTGAGTCTCAAGGCCTGAACGTGCTCAGAAGTCACTGCCAGTCACTAAAGAGTGCCTACCACGTACTGAGTCATGTGAAAAGGGAGCCGATGGGGTTCCTGCCCCTGGGAGAACAATAGGGTGTCGATCAGGAGAAGGAACAGAGTCACCAGGTGCTGACCGAGGGCTTCCTGGGCCGGGGAACGGTGCTGCTCGGTGCTGCTCGATGCGGGATCACAGCGGGGAGGCCTAGACAAGGCCCCCTCCCTCTTGGAAACCAAAGTCTGGTAGGAAAGACTTAAGATGAACAGATAATCATCCTAATCATTGAGCTGCAACTGGGAAAAGTGCCAAGAAGAAGTACAAAGTCACATGACACCATGTGGCAGTATTTAGGGAGTCGGGATCAAGAAACCCTCCCGGGTGAGGTCACATGTGAGCCAAGGCTTGCAGAATCCACAGAGCTGGACCGTGGTGGAGGGAGGGGAGAGTATGCCGAGAAGAGGAAGGCAAGCCCGTGCAGAGGCCCTAAAGCAGGAAGGCGGGTGTGACTGGAGAGCTGCTGGGGATGCGTCAGGAGAGGTGGGCAGCGGCAGCCCATGCCGGGCCTTGGGGGCTGCTGGGCATCTCCTCCCTTGCTGTGAAGGCGGTGGGGAGCCCTGCGATGTTTACAAGGCCAAGTAAGGGAAGACTCTTACCATTCTAGAAAAGGAATGAGCCGTGGCAATTCCAGTTTAAAAACCTGCTTGAGACTGTTTTAGTTCTACAGAGGCAATGTTGCATTTTGATTAGAGGCAATTTACTGGAAGTTGCTTCCCTGGCATTAACATCTTAAAACATTGTAACTCTAAACACTTTTTTACCACGAAGCGAAAATGTATTTCTTGATTAAAAAACAACAAAGTAATATGACAAACCCTAGAGAGAAATTTTTATTTTTTAAATTTAGATTCTAAACTTTAGGATCTAAACTTTAGTTTCTAAAAGTTTAGGAACTAAACTTTTTTGTTTTAATTTAGTTTAATTTTGTTTTAACGTGGCACTTCCTTCCACAGAGGGCCTCTGTCAGACAGAAAACTGTGAGCAGGCCCTCCTCCGCTCCCTCTTCAAATGCGCTCCTCCTGTCCCCAGGGAGCACTGTCCTGTCTCAGAGAGAGTCCAGCTAAGGACGACCCCAGCACTTGGCTTTTCCCCTTTCCCAGAGCCCCGTCACTCCCAGCCTCCCCTGGGTGTCTGTGCCTCTTGCCACTTGCCTACAAGTTTCCTAATATAGCCTGGCTGTTTCCTCCCCAGCTGGTGGCCCAGAGCGGCTCTCTGTGGCAGTCTCAGTTTTTCCTAGGCTTAAAGGGACCGTGTCAGCCCATCTCACACCAAATCTGAGCTAAAGGTAGGTGGGCTGATTTAATGTCGGGCCCAGAGTTTAGATGCCTTCTCTCCCCCCCTCCCCCCGATTTACCATCTTCTCTGCTCTACTCTTGTTCACTTTTCCTTTTTCTTTCTTTCTGCTGAGACAAGTGGAAGGCACACAGTTGGACATGGACGGAATTTTAAGCCCTGATGTCCCTCTTACCTCTGGCTGCTCCTGCCTGTTGTATCGAGCACCAGGGACCCCCTCCCCCCCCCCCAAATGAGTTAAAGCAGAATTTCTGGTGCTGAGGCCTAGGAAATCTGTATTTCATTTTCAGAGCTCCGAGAGTGGTGGTCAGGATCGAGCACCATAGCTCAGAGCATGAGCTCCGGGTTGCAGAAAGACTTGGGTTTGAATCCTGCTTTCTCAGCTCTCAGACCACCGACCTCCTCTCCTGTAAACGGGCGTCATCGCCGTGCCTGCCTCACAAGACCACTGAAAGGTTTACATGAGCCCTTGACACTGCGCATGGTCCTTGAGGGGGCTCTTTGTGGGGAAAGGCTGGGGCGAGGCAGGAGCGGGGGCCTCAGCAGGAGCAGCCTGTGCTGGGAGGGACCAGGCAGCATGGAGCCACATGGACATGCTGTCGTTTCCCTCCAGAGTCACAGGGCCCCAGTTTCTGGAAGCCCCACAATCTCAGATCTCAGGGAGCTTCGTGTCCAACATGTCATTGACTAGGGGGCCATGGAGGCCTGAAGAAGGAAGAGAGTCGCACAAGGTCAGACAGTGGGACGGGATTTCTGGACTGGTTCAGCCAATCGGTCAGCAATGCCTGTGGAGCACCTCTCCGTGCCGGGCACCGTTCCAGGCGCTGGGGACACGTCAGAGAACAACACGGGAGAGGTCCCCGCCCTCACAGAGCTCCCGTTCCAGCAGGAAGAGAAAAGCAATAAATACAGAAGGTGATAAGTGCTGTAGAAAAACAGTAAAAATAAACTGGGGACGTCTGGGTGTTTGGGGGGTGCAGGCAGATTGCAGTTTTGAGGAGGGTGGTCGGGATAGGGCCTCACCGAGCAAAGGCTTGATGGCTCTCTGGAGGAAAAGAGATCAGACAGAGGGAACAGCCTGTGCGAAGGCCCCAGTGGGAGCATACCTGGCCTCTGACCTCACGATTCCCTTACCTGGCGGGCTGTTTCAGTTCCGCAGCCAACCAGGGCAGAGGGATTCATTGAGAAGAAGGCCATTTGGGATTCTTTTGGTTGACGAGCCTGTGTTTAAAACAAAGGCTCTGAATCCCCCCGCCCCCCACACTGAATCCACTGAACACTGTCAGGTACTGTTCCGTATACTGGAGGCCCGAAGGTGAAGGCAGAGACCTGGCTTTCAGTGGTGCTGCTGGGGAGAGAAGGACCGAGAAGGTGGAAGAGGGGTGCGGGGTGAGGGGAGACGAGCTGTCAGGGGCTGTGTGACATCTGGGGGGCATTGACCTCCAACCTGACACATGCAGCTGTATGGAGGGGAGGGGAAGAGCTTGAGGATATATATTTGTGTGTGTGTGTGTGCGTGTGCGCGCGCGTGCGTGTGCACTGGGGGGACTCAGCAGGACACAGATGACAGTTACAAAAACCAAATAATTCAGTCGCCCAGGGAGGATGGGGAGACGGTTGTGGACAGAGCCCTGGGGAGCACAGCACATTAGGATGGGGGTGGAACATGAAGATATTGTCAGCTTTGTGTGGACTTGTTCGTACAGTTCACAGGATCTCACACACTGGCACAACTTTGTAGAACCACATTATCACACACACATGTTTTCCTTCTGAGTTTTTCAGAGATCTTAGCTCATTTAAACCTCAGACAACTCTGAGAGGTAAGAGGCAGTTACTGTCTCTGACAGATGAGGAAGCTGAGGCACAGGGAGGTTGTCGCTTGCCAGAGGTGACACTGCTAGCAATGGCAGAGGCAGGATGTGGACCCAGGGGTCTGGCTTCCGGTGTCTGTGCTCCTAACTGCTGCTCTGCGCTCCCTCTTGTTCCCAGGAGTTCACGAGCTCACTCACGGACACACAAGGTCTCCTTGCACACGCCACCATCCTGCATACGCAGGGTCTTACGTGCTCTCAGTCTCACTAATGCCCACGGCCTCACACACTCACTTGTCCTAGAGTGTCTCCCCGTATTGCACTTTGTACTCAGGTGGCTGGAACATTCAGAACCTGTCCCACACCCATCATGTCATTGCTTTGGGACCTTGGGTACCCACCCCACTGCAGACACACTACATTGCACACTCATGATGCCATATAGTCAAAAGACACTGACACGTATGCCCATAAAAGTCTTCTAATCCTAGTTAGTGTGTATTGAGCTCCTGCCTTCGATCTGAAAGGTCGCTGGTTCGGTTCCCAGTCAGGGCACAGGCCTGGGTTGTGGGCCACATCCCCCTCTGGGGGCATGTGAGAAGCAACTGATCATGTATCTCTTGCACACTGATGTTTCTGTCCCTCTCTCCCTCTTTTCTCCTGTCTCTAAATTAAATAAATAAAATCTTCTTTAAAAGTTTATGCACATGGTCTTGCACACATACACACGTCCATACTCTCTGACACGGCTCCATGCTTTCCAACATTCACACGACTGTGCAAACTCACTGTCTTATTCGCTCACGCACACCCATTTAACCTAGCAAACTGACAGCCTTGCCTGCTGCACAACTTTGCACTCTGACCCCCGAATGTCTTGCATCCTCACTCAACTTTGTTCGTCCTTGTACCCGCAAGACCTCAAGTGCTCATGAGCTGCGTTGTATCTCATCGTGACGTGCACACATGCTCTCAGTGTCCTCTGTGCACACACTGCCTTGCACATCCAGGGTTCTTCCTGATCCCACCACCTAGCACTCCCCCACAAATGCAAATATTCACATTACCATCCACTCAATATCCTGCTTCCTCAGGCTTGCACCTTTATTCTCTTCTGTGTGATTTTAAATCTGCACACATTTAAATTCACACTCACAGAGCTCTTACCTACTCATACAACTTTACATTTAAAATTGTCTGACAACTTCAACCTTGCACTATTTTGCACACTAAAGACCTCATGTGTTCTCACCAACCGAAATATGCACACCATGCAACCCCCTTCTGACTTGTCTGTTAGTGTCCTTGCACACTTGTTTAACCTCACACACTTCCAGGGCCTCACCTGCTTATACAACTTTACACATTGACGCTCTGACTCACACAACCTTACTCTATCTTGCACACTTCTGACCTTGCCATGTTTACACCAACAGAAACATTTACACCACTGCACAAACTCCTTGTAGTTTGTCCACCCATGTCCTTGCACACTCACATAACCTCACACCCTCAGAGCCTTGCCTGTTTTCATATCCTGAAACTCCTGGCCCCTTGGATGGCCTTGCCCACTCCTGCCCTGGCACACCCACGTTGCTGTGCACACACAGGAGCCCACATGCAGGAGACCCACCATGCTGCGCCACTGACGCTCTCTCCTCGCCCGCAGGGACTTACCAAGGCCAGTTCACCAACGGCATGCGCCATGGCTACGGTATACGCCAGAGTGTGCCCTACGGGATGGCCGTGGTGGTGCGCTCGCCACTACGCACGTCACTCTCGTCCCTGCGCAGTGAGCACAGCAATGGCACAGTGGCCCCGGACTCGCCCACCTCGCCGATCTCGGACGGCCCGCCGCTGCCCTCGCCCGCCATCCCACGCGGTGGCTTCGCACTCAGCCTGCTGGCCAACGCCGAGGTGGCCGCACGGGCGTCCAAGGGCGGCGGCCTGTTCCAGCGGGGCGCGCTGCTGGGCAAGCTGCGGCGGGCCGAGTCCCGCACGTCCCTGGGCAGCCAGCGCAGCCGCGTCAGCTTCCTCAAGAGCGACCTCAGCTCGGGTGCCAGCGACGCCGCTTCCACCGCCAGCCTGGGTGAGGGTGTGGAGGGAGCCGACGAGGCAGCACCCTTCGAGGCCGACATCGACGCCACCACCACGGAGACCTACATGGGCGAGTGGAAGAATGACAAGCGCTCGGGCTTCGGTGTCAGCGAGCGCTCCAGCGGCCTCCGGTACGAGGGCGAGTGGCTGGACAACCTGCGCCACGGCTACGGCTGCACCACGCTGCCGGACGGCCGCCGCGAGGAGGGCAAGTACCGCCACAACGTGCTGGTCAAAGGCACCAAGCGCCGTGTGCTTCCGCTCAAGAGCAACAAAGTCCGACAGAAGGTGGATCACAGCATGGAGGGCGCCCAGCGCGCCGCCGCCATCGCGCGCCAGAAGGCCGAGATCGCCGCCTCCAGGTAGGACCCTGGGCTGGCACAGATGGGATAGGTCCCACTGAGGAAAGGGGTCCTGGGACCTGGCCGCCTAGCAGGCCCTGTCTCGAAACCTGTTTCTGCTTCTTTTACCGCCAGGGCTTCCTTTAATTGGAGGCGCTTCAGGATCTGGTGTCACCTGTTCTCCACCCAATCATCCAGCTGTCCACTCAGCTACTACTCCCATCCACCCACTTACCAACCCCTCCGTGCACTTACTCCTTCCCTCCTCGGAAACTATCTGATATCCACCAGAACCACCAACTCCTCACCAAAGGATTCCCCCTGCCCACACACCCTCTCCACTCTGTGTATCCACTGAGCCATCCAGTCAGGTATCCATCCACCCAACCACCCACTCCATCACCCAGCTCCCCACCCAACCACCCGGTCATCCATCTGTTCACCCACCCCTCCATTCACCCATCGTCTCCACTACACACCTGAACAAGTCCTCCGTTCACTCAGCCCCTGTCCATCTAACGCAATCTAACGTGCATCTGACCAGTGACCTGTCTGCTCAATTATTTCTCCTCCCACCTCTGTCCATACAACTCTCCATCCGTTGACCTACCCAGCCATCCAATCACCTACACATCCAGCCACCCAACCACCCCTCAACCACCCACCCATCCTCTTATCCACCCACATTTATTCAACAGCTTCCCACCCGTCCTCATATCCAACCATGTATTCACCCACTTCCATCCATCCATCCAACTGCCTGCATCACCCAGATGCTTCCGCCCAGCAATCCATCCGCACTTCTATGTACTCAGCCACTCCCCCCTACCCGTCTGCCGGCCCTGCATTCAGTCATCTGCCCTTCCATCCATCAGCACCCACCCTTCAGACCCCTTCAGATCCATATTCAGACCCCTTTCCGTCTTCTCATTGTACTTTAGAAAAAGTGTCAACGTTGTTTTCAAACATCTGTAGCACCTACTGTGTGCATGGCACTATTTTAAGTGGCTTACAAACATTGATTCATTCAGTCTCAAGGACTTTGTAAGATCATTACTATTTTTATTTCTACTCTACAGAGGAGCCAACTGAGGCTCTGAGACATAAGGTGACTCGTCCCAAACCACCCAGATAGTAAGTAACCCTTCATAATCTGGTTCCTACGAACCTACTCACCGCATTTTCTACCATGCTTGACCTGGACCTGGACCTGCTCTCCGTGCTGGTCACGCTGGCTTTTGTCAGTCTCCTTCAGTGCTCCTGCCGGAGAGCTCGGGCCCTGCTGGCCCCTGTGCCTGGACCGCTCTACCCTCCTCCTGCCCCTTCCCTTCCTCCTCCTCCTTCAGAGCTCAGGCCCGGCCTGAGCCACCTGGAGAGCTGACGAGGCCCTGCCCCCTGGCACAGGCCGACTGTCGCTCAGCCACTGTCCATCTCAGCCAGTGGACATCTTAGATGATCTCATGGCAACTTTACGCTGTGAGGTGGAGACGTGACTTTTTTCACCCTTCTACTTATAGAGGGGTCCCTGTGTGACGGTCATAGTCCTGAGGTCTTTACGTACATGAACTCTTTCTGTCTTTAGAAGATCTTGACGAGGCAGGTACTGTTATTATTTCCTTTGGGCTGATGTGGAGTGAGCTGCAGGGACAGCGGTGGGTGTGGCAGGACAGTCACCTATTATTCGTAGCAGTCCTGCTGGTGGCTGTGAATGACCTGGGCTGGAGGCGGTGGCACTGTGGTTCTCAGAGGTAAGCAAACCTAGGTTGTGATCTTGGCACTGCCATCTGTTAGCTCAGAGGCCTGGCCAATCCGTTTGCCTGTCTGAGCTTCAGCGTCCCCCTCCGCGGCACCACCACCACTTCTTAGTTGTTATGTTCTTGGACAAATCAGGTTTCTTCTTCAACCTCAGTTGTGTCACCTATGACAACGGGGCGGGCCTGAGGGTTGAGAAGGACGGGCGCAGGTCCAGGGGTGGTGCGCCGTCCGACCGGGGGATGAGTTCCCTGGGAAGCGGGCTGGGAGACGGAGATGAGTGTGTGGGGAGTTCCTGGGCGTGCGCTGAGGGTTAACCCTTGTGGGGAAGGGAAGGAGGCAGGTTGGGCAGAGGAAGTCGGGGCAGTCTCCGCAAGGTCATCCACAGAGGGGTGCTGCAGTGGAGACGACCTTCAGAGTCGTCCCAAGTTGAGGTGAGGGGAGCTGGATCTTTACCTCTTCGCTGGTGGCAGGCTGCCCTCCGGAAAGGGGTGTGGCCTGGGGCTGGATGGTTCTCTTCAGCCAAGGGCAATCCCTGGGCGGGACGGCCGGCAACACTCTGAGCAGCTGGGGGCGGGAGGAGGGTGTAGAAATAAGCCCTGAATGGGAAGCTGGGCGGCACGTGGCAGCATCCACGACAGTGCTAGACACCCAGTAAGGGCTCCATGAGCTTTATTTGTCATTGTTGCTATTCAGTGAATTCATCTGACAGATGTGGAAACGGAGACCCAGAGAAGGAATGTAATATGCCCAGGACCACCTGGCAAGCAGGTGGAGGAACCAGCGCTTCAACCCCTAGCTACTCATTCCAAAGCTCTAGCCAGCACATCTGGGTACCTGTAAACTTTGTAAACGTTAGATTGCTGTGACGGTGTGACCGTGTGAGCAGTTAGCCCAGCTGAGAAGGAAAGAACGCGTGGGCAATGTTCTTAGGACTTCTCGGTCAGGGGCAGGGCCAGCCTTATGACCGGGCGATCACAGAATTTGTTTTCCAAACCTGGACACTTTTATGAGTTCAAGGGGGCACGTTTTAAAAAGAAACTTACACGCTGGGATAATTTTAGATTCACACAAAAGTTGCAAAGATAGTTCAGAAAGTTCCCACATACCTTCTGTCCATTTTCCCCTAACGCTAACTTCTTATATGACCAAGATTCATTTGTCAAAGATGATTAACTAAACTTCAGACTGTTGGAATTTTCACTAGTGTTCCCACTACTGTCCTTGTTCTGTTCCAGGGTCCCAAATCGCGTTTAGCTGTCAAGTCTTGCTAGCGCCCTCTGGTCCGTGACAGTTTTGCGGACTCCTATTTTCCATGACCGTGACAGTTTCGGGCAGTACTGCTCGAAGGTACTTTGAGACTGTCCCTCAATCCGGATTGTTCGGTGTTTTCCTCATGACCAGACTGAGGTTACAGGTTTGGGGGAAGAAGACCGCAGAAGGAGAATGCCTTTCTTGTCGCATCGTACCAGGAGCACACGGTCTCGACAGGACTTAGCACAGAAGACGGTGACCTCGATCACTTGGTCACGGTGGTGTCTGCCAGGTTTCTCGGCTGCCGGCCACCATTTCCCCCTCCCTATACTCTCTTCTTTGGGGTACATTATGTTCAACCCATACTGGAGAAGGAGAACATTCTGGAATTGGTTCTGTAGCAAGGAGTACCAACATAGGTCATTTGGAATTCTTCTGTAGGGAAGATTTGTCTCTTCTTCCCAATGGAACATTTAAAATTATTATGTTAAGTGTGTAAAGTTGTGACAGGCATTAGCAAGGACTGTCTGGGGCTACCCTGGGACATGGCGGGGCTCAGACCAGGTGAGAGCGTAGGCTCTTGATTCGCACGACCATGAGCAGGAATTCTGGCGCTTCTACGGAAGAGCTGTGTGGCTCTGCCCAAGTTGCTTCACCACTCTGAGCCCTGGACTCTTTCCTCCTGGTGGAGTTTGAGGCGTGGATGAGCTAATGCCTATAAAACACCTGGCACAGAGCAGCCAGCCATAACAGCCGTCACTGTCATCATCTAATGTGTTTGATTTTAAAGGTGAGGAAATGGAAATGTGGGGACAAGTAGGGACTTCCCCCAGCTCTCACCTGTTGGGGGCACAATCTTGCCCCTTCCGCCCCTTTGCTTTCCCTTCCCTCCTGCCCTTGAACGTGAATGTGTTGAGCTCCTTCTGAGAAGGCCACCAGGCCCAAGATGGGAACCAGTCTCTGGAACGAGAAGTCGGTGTCTGGCGCCCTCCACACGGTGCCACCAGGAGGGAAGTGCAGGGGATGTTTGGATTTCTCGTGCATCTGAGGAGCATGTCCTATGCTTCCTGGCTCATTTCAAGCTCAGACTGGATTTCCAATTAAGGAAATCCTTGGGTTAGGAGGGAAAGCAAGGTTGTCTCCCTCCTGGGGGCTTTGGTGAATAATCCGGCCACAGAGGAACAGGACACTTACCCTGCAGCCACCAGCCTCCTGGGCGCAGGCAGGCCAGGGTTTCTCTCCACTGTGACCTCAGGCCCCTTGCCCGGGCCTACCTGGAACCTGTCAGCTCAGAGTCCAGGATCAGGACGGCTTTCCCAGGGGGGAAGGAGAAAGCTGACACGTCTCTTCCCCCCAAATGGGCTATGGCTTGAAAAGGATTCTAGACCTGCCCTGTCTAGCATGGTAACCACTAGCCACCTGTGGCTGTTGAGCTCCTGAAATGTGACCGATGTGAACTGAGATGTGCTTTAAGTGTGGAATAGACACTGGATTCCAAAGACTTAGTAAGAAAAGAATAAAAAGTAACCCATTAATAACTTTATATTGATTACATGTTGAAATGATTATGTTTTAGATATACTGGGTTAGATCAAATCTGAGTTTTGTTTTGTTTTTTTCACTTTTTGAATGCGGCTACTAGAAAAACGACATGTGACTCACATTATATTTTTATTGGACAGTGTTGTTGCTTTAGCCGCATTCAGGCCCTTAGGAGACGGTGGCTGACCAGTGGGGGAAACCGGGCTCTGGAAAGTGACAAAGAGATTCCCACAGGCACTGAGTGGTCCACGGGGAACTAAGCCTCCTGTCTTCTGATTTTGTGGCTAAGAAAGAACCCTTTCTGTAATACCTTTTAAGGTCACGGACACTGGGCCCTGGAGGGAAGCTGGGATGTTTGGGAAGGTGTCTAAACTTTCTGGTTGTCATGCCAACACCCTGATGAACGGCTCCCATCTGGAAGCCGTACAACGAGTGGTCAGAGTGGGGCTTTGGCTCTGCCTCTCGCTCACCAC